ACTCACCACTAAAGCCACACCAGCATGGCTTCCTAGGAGCGGCGGGCAGGGGCTGAGGGCCGCTAACGCCATGAGATAAGCAGCAAATACGCCACCCACCAATGCCAAAAATCCCAAAGGTGTAGAGGATCTGGAAAAGACAAGTTTTCATGAGAAGAAGTCTAAATATAACAATGAAATCTCACAAATAAGTCTTTATTTCTGTGTTCTCACCTGAGGACAACGAACATGGCCAGAAAACACGCTACGGGATTCGCTATGTTTCCAAGGACCACAGAGAGGTGGAAGGTCATGGTGCCATAGGGCAGGCAGGAGAAGCTCTGCACAGATGGGAGGACTCCATTGGTGAGGGCGTTGGAGATGGCGAGCAGCACGAGCAGGAAGATGTTTCGTGGTGTCCAAAATGTCTGAGCCGGTGGCTGCTCCTCCACCCGCACCTGCTCCTCAGACACTGGCGTCCCTCCGTTGTACAGCCGGTGCGTCTCTTCTTCATCCTTTGCTGCTGCACCACTGTCAGACTCCTGCGGTGGCGGTGGCGGTGAACCCTGCGTTGACTCTGACGGTCTTCGCGTCAAAGCCAGGAAACTCAGAGCAGAGATTGAAAGCATCACAAACAAGAACCAGAAGAAATTCTGGGCGGGAAAGTTCTCTTTCAAATACTCTGGTTGCACTGTGCCGTTCACAGGTTTACACTCCAGCTTGCCAACACCTTGTCCCAACGCCACAATACAAGGGAACAAGGCGCTGAAACCTTGACCAATGAAGAAAGTGCGGATATACTGAGGTGGGTACCGGAACATGAAAGGCAGAAAGGTCACGTTGGACGTACAGCAAACAAACGATAACACGAAAGTCAAGACCAGGAACGGTACAGATCTCTGCTCTCCTGCCACCATGACAGTGTGGCACCAGAAGACGGCCAGAAAAGCGGACGCCACCACTGCCAGTATCTGAATGCAGTGGATGGTGAGGCGTTCGTTTAAGCGCCCAGGCGCACAGTGGTGTGTGATGGTCACTGCTATTGGTCCCAGGTTCCCAAATGCTATAAGCACTGAGAGGTAAGCAGGCAGGTTCCAGCCTAAAAGAGAAGCAAAACAAACAATTTAAAGTAATAAGATCTCAATAAGAACACATTTTTACAATTTTGTTTAATAAATGTGTTTTGATTCTTTTGAATTCATATTTGTGTTCTTTTAAAAAAAATAAGGATACCACATTATTCTGCTGATCTTAAGGTGCTTTTTAAAAACAATTTTGTGCATGTATGTTTCTATTAAACGATGCTAATCTGTTTTTATTGCATCAAGAGTTATTTTGTTATAGAGTGATGCTGCGACCTACTCCCTGAGTTCACAGCAAGTTCAATATTGTGAGTTTGCTGCCCTCATCAGGCAGTAAACTCATAATAAAATAACTGGTATTCACTGTGTTTGTCTGTGGTGTCTTGTTAACGAAAAGGTGTCCTTTGGATAACCACAAAGACATTAAATGGATATAAGCAAGAAACCTCTAACCAGTGCAAGTGTAAGTAAGCTGGATATGAGCCAGTCTGACAGAATATTAGCCATTTTCAAACATAACTGCAACACAGGAAATTTTTAGTTTGTGTTTTTTTGTGTTTTCTCAGATTGGCCCCAATATGTGTCAAACAGAGGAATGCATTTAGTGAAAATTTTAGTTGTAGATTTGAGTTTTAGATCAAGATGACACTTAGCCTGTAATAAAGTTTAGTTATAACTAACATGCAGCTTTGTAACATTGATTGAAAACCACAGTTATGTTCATACCTCAGTTTTGACTTTGAGTGGATGAATAATTTAAAAAAAAAAATAGCTTAAAAACTAAAACCTGGTCTCTTGATCATGACTGGGTCATAACACCCCTACAAATATGTGATGAACCCACTGAAGTTTTCTCATAAATATCATCCCATGATGAAGCACTTCAAGTCACTTCAATTGGTACACCATGCAAGTACTGGGTTGGATCCCTTACTGCCCTTAGAATTCATGCATGCTGGAAACATTTCTCAGAGTTTTGGTCCATATTGACATGATAGGATCACACAGATAATGCAGATTTGTCAGCTGCACATCCATGATGAGAATCTCCACCACATCCCAGATGAACTCTATTGCACTGGGATCTGGTGACTGGAGGCCATTAGTGTACAGTGAACTCACTGTCATGTTCAAGTAACCAGTTTGAGATTATTTGAGCACTGTGACATGACACATGACTCATCAGAAGATGGGTACACTGTGGTCCTAAAGCGATGGACACGGTGAGCAGCAGTACTCAGACTGTGGCATTTAAATGATGCTCAGTTGGTACTAAGAGACCCAAACTTTGCCAAGTAAATATCCCCAACCTTATTACACCAGCAGCCTCGTTGATGCAAGGCAAAATGGATCCATGCGTTCATGTTTTTACGCCTAAGTGAGACCCAGTCATCTAAATTTTGCAGCAGAAATTGAGACTCATCAGATGAAGAAACATTTTCCAATCTTCTGTTGTCCAGTTTTGTTTTGTTTTTAGCCTGTGTGAACTGTAGACTAAGTTTCCTGTTCTTAGACAACAGGACTGTGATCCAATGTTGTTTTGGCTGCTAAGGTTTCAAGTTTGTGCAGCTGCTGAGCTACACAGTGGACAGCTTTTCAATTTTAAATAATTTTCTGAAAACTCCAGAGATGTTCATGGGGAAACTTCAAGTAGATAAGCAGTTTCAATTCAGTGACACCAACAAAGGCACTTAAATCATCTTTTTTCCTTCCATTGTGATTCTCAGTTTAAACTTCAACATCATTTTTGCCATGTTTACATACCTGAATCCAATGAGTTGTTGCTACGTGACTGGCAGCTGAACAGTAGTACCTAACAAAGTAACCACTGAGTGTACATAGGTAAATGAGTAAATCTATAGGAAGCATTTGGTTTGCACCAGGCAATGTGGAAAAATAGCAAAGTATGCAAAATTGAAGTTATAAGTAAACAAACATCTAAATATGTACAGCGTGGCTATAGAAAAACAATGGAATAATAAAGGTTACCTTTCAATCTATCATTATTTTATCATTTACCCGACAAAGGTATAAAGAAGCAATTTGGTAAAACATAGTTAAAATGTGCACAGTAATCTCTAAACTGGTAACTGTGCACGGCCACAGCTGTTGTACAGATCATCTGTTATAGTTAATTTTCAATTTTGGTGGTGAAAAGTTCCAAAACAAATGAAATTATAGAGACCATGGACTAAATGTTGGGCCTCAGAAATAATATTGTAAATATATAACACTGAAGCATTTCAATGTTAATGCAGGAGTTATAACTACATAACATCGGATATAACAGCCTATAAACTATACTGCAGATAATAATAACAGGTTTAGCAGTTTAGTATGTAAAGTCTAAACTCGCACATTAACAACAGCCGAGGAACAAAGTAAGAGCGCCATCTCTTAAAAAACTCGAAAACACAACTACATTTGAACGCTACACCTAACCAATTTTGAATGCATAGACTGATAATGTAACAATAAGGTGGAGCTAGCTGTTATTGTTCACCACCGCCTCCAGAACCTATATAATAAAACCAATGAACTAAAATAATGTGGAAACGCTGTGATGCACGCTATGGATTAGTAGGGGAAAGGTCAAAGCGGGGAAGCGTGGGGTTGTTGGTGGCGCTTCCTACAACCTACCTTCGGGCAGCACGCCGACAATCACCGGGAGCTCGACCCACAGACTGTTGACAGAAATCCAGGAACCCATGGCGAACAGAGCCATGAGCCCGTGGCTCACCGCGGCACTGCTCCACCACCCACCGGACATGGTCGCGCTTAGTCCGGCTAATTCAACAGAGAAACGCTAATAAAACGCTTGCCTCAGCTTGTGTCCAGCGTGTTCCTCCATACCTCCCTATCTGGGACTCGAAACAGAGGACGTTTACGCAAAGTTCCGCCCCTTCGGCTGCCTTCGAAACCGCTCGGAACTTAAATAATCGGTTTAAAAAATTTATTTAGGCTTTTACGCGCTTCAATTTTGCATTTTTTCTACTTAAGCAAAGTACACATTCCACACTAGGTTCGCTGCCAAGTTGTATCGTGAATTGTAATTCAATGTAATTATGACCTCTAAGTCATTTTTAATTACCGCACTCTGGTATGCTGCCCTTTCCTACAGCACCGCGTGTTTTCCCTATTCTTACAGTGGTTCTCTGACACATACAAGCTCCAAATTTTTAAAGCACCGTTTAATATAACACGTTTGGACATTAACTCGGTTGGAGCGTTTTCATACTCGATAAAGAATTCTAGACATTCCGAAAACAGTGAAGGCACCATCTTGAATAGCCTTGGAGTTCTCTTGTTTGCGATCCAGCGGGCAACTCACAGACGGCTCATTGTAAACAACTGTTACCTTTAAAATAATTAAAGGGGGTTGCTTGTTTTTTTGTTTTTGTGGTAAGTCAACACTGATTGTTGCTTAAATTGCGACACTATCTCTACTTTAACAGCTAATTAGACTTATTACAGCCAAACAATGGGCTTTGCTGCTCTTCTCTAGCATTTTAATAATTAAAAAAAAAGAGAAGATCCCAATACTATGACTTTCAATATAGCAATCCCACTGCCACCCTATTTTTGTTTTTTACCTTTGTGTGGTGTTTATTTAGCTTTAAATAACTTCGATTTATTTAACCCTTTATGTTGTTTTGTGTTCTGAGTTTAAGGTTAAAACAATAAACACGATGATTTTCTTTATAGTGAATTCAGAAAATGGATCCAGCAGACCCAAACAATACACAAGGGTTAAAGGATAAGGGGGCGCAAGAGTTTATGATCATGAACTCGTTGACATAGCTGATTAACTCACTCACACTGAGGCTTGTGATACAAACACAAATGCCCTTCAGATCTGACAAACACGAGGTCACCAACAACAACATCCAGACATTTTGTCGTTTGGTTGATAAATTAAGTAAAATAATTTGACAGTGGTCAATTTCTTCAAATTTTATGTGAGGATTAGTTACAAACTCATCGAAATTATCACAAAAAACATAATACTAAAAATATCCAGTCTTTCCAACTAATGGCATGTACAAAATAATTCATTATGTGATAAGTGTGTTTTTGCTTAGTCTGAAGCCATGCAGTCACATGAGGAAGTCACATGATAAGATTTCATCCTCTTGACCTCTTCTCTAGATATCATACAGTTAAAGCACTCATGTGCCGCTGCTGCTTTGACTCGGACCGGTCGCAGCTTCCGTCGTGTCCTTGAGCACCGGCTTCTTTTTGGTCCTTCTAGGCGCCAAAACGATAGAGTAGCCAGGCTTTACGCGCGGAAGTGCAAGCTTCAGCTTCAGTGCCATTTGTGTGCTGTTGTGGAAAACCATATCCAGGTGAGAGTTTGCGTTGTTCAGAATCATTTTCTGATACACGATCTCGCAGCGCAGCCCCTCCCGTTTCTCAGCTCGCGATTTTCCATCGAAACGCAGCATCATTTTATCGACATCCTGCTGAGTTTTGCATGGCCCTCCGTTTCTATTCACTTGAGCTATTATGTAATCCCTGTCCATGTTCTCCTCTATCTCCTCGTACACCTTTATTGCCTTTTCTATTTTGCTGGCATAACCTTTTTTCATCTGTGGACTGCGGGTTTCTTTTGAGGTCCTTCTAACTTCCAAAATGGAAGAGTCAGAGTCGTCAGAGCTCTCATCAGATGAAGCAGATTGGTATTTGTCTTCTTGGGAGCTGCCTGATGACAAGTTCTTATCTACAGAGTACTTTGTTGACTTCTCAGGCCTTTTCCTCTTGTAAGGGTATGTGTGGCCAAAGGGGTACTCGGCCATCAAAACAGAGAATGTGCAACTGACCAACTGCAAGCTCAAATTGGTGGAAGGAATTTGGGAAAATTTTCCTCCTGGCAGAAAATCCTTGAGGTGTTCTTCAGTGACTGAAGCAATCACCTTTATCGTCCTCTTCAAGCAAGCTCTGATCAGATCTCGATTCGTGTGCCACTGCCCACAGTAGTGAAACACTCCGTCAAAGGTTTTCTCTTGCAGTGGGTACTGCAGAAAGACATCTGTAGCCTCCTCTGGTTCCAGCAGAGTTGAAGGATCTTTGGACCAATCGAGAAATTTTTGGTAGAGATAAAGTAAGTACTGGCTGTAGAGGGCGTACTCTCCTCCACTCTTCAGAAGCTGCCAGTAAGGACCGAGGATTTTGCAGTACACAATTGCCAGAACACATACGAGGCTCTGAATCACAGTGTCGTTCGCATCTGCGGCAACACTCTCCAGAATAATGTTCGGGCATTTATCGTTGTTCAGCGACAGCAAATCTGAGAAGAAGAGAGCGATCTCTTTGTGGTGGTGGATAAGACCCGCAGCAGCTTCAAAGTAGGTGTTGAATCTGTTTGACTGATTTACCGCCAGTCTGGAGGGATTATTCTTTTCCTCACAGAAAGCCACCCAGTACTTCCTGTAGTTTTTCTTCTCGGGGGTACGAGGGCTCAGGATATCACACGCCATGTGAATATACCGTGAGGTGGCGCTTTCTGGAAAATTGACAAAGTTCTTGAATTTAGGGAGCTTATCACGGCCTAGCTTCTCTCCCGCTGACTCAATGATCTCCTTTTCAAAGTCAAATATGTGCTGTTCCACTACATCGTGAACATCAACGAGGAAATTGGCATTGTAGTTTAGAAACATGACAGGAGAGACAAGGGAAATGTGTTCATGCATAGCCTCGAGCTTCTTCTCAAACACTGCCATAGCTGGATTGTCTTTGAATGTCAGAGCGTACTGATTTTTAAGGAGATCCAGGGAAACCTGCTTGCACACTTCCGTTTTCCCGCTGTACACACTGGACAGTTTATGGACAGTCAGCATTGCGATGTCAAGCACAGTCATAGACTCTACTGTGTTACCCGAGGTTTCATCTCCACTGTTGGAAACATCCATATCCTCATAATTTCTATGTACAGCAGCATGATTGTTTTGTCCTCTTATTTCATCTCTGTCCATCTCAGGCTCCTCACTTTCCATGATTTCAAAAATCTCATCTTCCTCTTTGATTATAACTTTTTCATAATATATGCTCTCATCTCTTCTCATGCGTTTCTTTACAATAAGCTTTGGCTCTTTTATCTGAACCAGTTCAAACGGACTTTGAAGCATATTTTCAACCAATGCATTCCTCCTGTTACTTCTTGTTTCTGAATTGCAGCAAAACGCCTTTAACTTTTTTATTTTGGCTTTGAGGACTTGATATGCCCTTTGAACATTGCCATTCTTACAGTACTGTGAGTTGAAGTTTCTAAGCCAACTTACTAGAACAATTGGGGAAATTTTCTCCCTGCTCACAAAATTGCTTAGTTCAAGAATCAAGCCGTTTGTGACTTCGATCGACTTTGCCCGATCTGAAAAATCTCTCATTTCCAAAAGATCTTGCCGCTCGACTCCAATGCTATCACATATTGGTCCAACAAAATTAAAATTGACATCTGATTCCAGGAAAACCAGCCTTGCATCATATCCAAGACTCAGTGTTGTGGCAATGCCTCTTCCAATCAAACCGCGAAAATCTGCTGACTGATGTGCGGGGAAGATCCTCTTGAGCCAATCCACAATGGCAATCCACGGAAAATTATTGTCCTCTCTCAAAAGTCCTACTTGGATCATAAGTCTGTTCTTGCAGGGGCCCTTTTGAAGCTCTAATTCTTCTCCTGATTGAGGACCAATGAAGTCCGCAACGAGCTTCCAGTAGTACTCATCTCCTGAAAAATAGAAATCAAAGTAATCAGAAATGTAAACCATAACAAAGAGGTAAGGCTTTTTAAATGAACTGGTATTAGGCACAGTCACTATGTGAAGGTTTATCAGCAAAAGCGACTTAAATACAAGCTTTACTAAGTAGCTGTTTACTTGCAATGCATTCAGACTTACTTAGATTGGCTTCAGTCACAGCTGCTTTCCCACAAAGAGAAAAATCTTGACCCTCCTCCATTGTATGCTGTTTTAAAAGAGACAGATGAAATTCTTCAGTCCTCAGCCTACAGAAGACGACGCTTTCATAACAAAAACTGGATGGATAATGCATGACAAATCAGCTTGATTAAGATCTGACAGACCAAACAAAATAACAGTGGACGAGAACTTTTTTCTGCTTTTACAATGACAAATCTGTCCTAAATTTGTATGAAGATGAATGACTGAAGCTAAACAGTTAAAACTGCAGCTGATATTTCAAAATGTTATGATCTTAATAATAATTATTGCAGTTTTTCTTGCACATTTTTTATCTTCTCCTACTAAAACCCATTAAGAGTAATAGTTCTAATACATCACAGTGAGAAAAAGTGCATCATGGCACAAACAACAAGTAACAACCATTTCCTTATCGCGTCAAGTCGTTTTATTTTATATTTTGTATTGGTAAATGGTAAATGGCCTGTATTTGTATAGCGCTTTTAGTAGTCCCCCCTAGGGACCCCAAAGCACTTTACACACCCAGTCATCCACCCATTTACACACACATTCACACACTGGTGGAGGCAAGCTACAGTTGTAGCCACAGCTGCCCTGGGGCAGACTGACAGAAGCGAGGCTGCCATATCGCGCCATCGGCACTTCTGGCCAACACCAGTAGGCGGTAGGTGAAGTGTCTTGCCCAAGGACACAACGACCGCGACTATCCGTATTTTCATAAAATGTCTTGGATCCAGGCCACGTCAAATTTCTCTGAAAAAAATCCCATTAGTGTTAAAAATTTCAGGTCCCTACTGTCATTAGTTTTCATCTTTTCAGAGGGAATTTGAAATTTCACTATCTGGAAAACTACTTGAGAACGGCCCTTCAAATATTTAGGGTACTATGGCTCAACACCACTACTTTCATCCATTAAAATACTTTTTTCAGAAAACTATTATTTCAGAATGGACCTGAAATTTGACATAACTCTCACAAAGATGAAAATATTTGACTTGAGTTTTTTCAGACAAATGTGAGACTTTGCTTTAAGCATCTGCAAAGAAACAACACTGACACTCTGTATTCCCTAAAAAAAAAAACCAAGTTGTTTATATTTTATTCTCATTATAATAAAATTTCATGTTACTAAATTGAATCTTTTCAGTTAATCAATCAGACTGATTACTAACAATCTGACTTTCAAACAAAACACATTAAATTTTTTGTTTTTACAAAATTACATTTTCACACAGAGAAACAGTTTACTTTTCACTTGTAAGAATTGCATATATCAGCAACTATATTTCTAATATGTCTGTATTTTATCAAGCATATGCCCAGTTCATGTGTTCATCTATGATTCAATCCCCCATCTCTTTGTATGTTGTCTCAACCAGATGTGGTTTTCAACACTACCAGGCTTTCTGAAGCTCTTTCAAAGTGTTTCTTTGGACACTGGGAGCGTTTTCATCCATTTCTGTACCACTTTCAGAGTATTTTTGTTTTTAAGCCATTTAGCTTAATTATTGAATTATTTGAGTATAAAAACAAACCTAAGTCAAGCGATGACAGCATGTTTATACATATCAGACTACTTATTAGCAGCCTGTCACAAAACATATGTGTTGTCATTTAGTTTTAGTTTGTTTGAGCTTATGAAAAATGACAATGATAGCACAGCCTGACAGACATATAATAGTATTTTTGGATGAACAAGGTGATTCCCAAAGACCTGTTATCCTAACATATATGCTGAGATATAGTACATGTCAGCATGGTGTGCGTTGTGTCTTTAATAAATCTGAGGAAGCTGGATCTTGTCAAAACTGATAGAATGCACACAGATTTTTACCACAATGCGATACAATTTGGAAAGCATCTGATTAGCTACAACTTCCTTTTTCAGCATGACAATGATCCCTGTCAATGTAGTAAAAGCACACCTGGATAGAAAAGCACACAACTGAACACTATCAGTCACAGGCTAACCTCAACATCACTGAAGCAGTGTGGGATGATATTGGCAGAGAACGGAACAAAGAGGAAGCAACTTCCAAAGAAAAGCTTTGAATGCCCTTCAAGAAGCCTGGAGAAGATTTCTTAAAGAAATGACAATAAAGCATGTCTAAAACAATCAAGGCTGCATTGAAGAATATAGATGGTCCTATCAAACATTGACTTTCAAACTTGTTAGAATTGTAGAAACTTAGTTTTTACCATGTATATTACATTTCCACATATGTTTACATATGTTACAGTGATTTGTTGTACCCATTACCCATTTTTCTAAATATAGCTGGTACTAGTAAAAAATGTAATGTTACAAAAGTGTGTGACATATATTCTAACTAGTTAAAATTCCAAAAAGACATATTCATAGTTTAATTTTTACTTCTCAAATAACATTTAACAGTAAACACTGTTTTCAGGAGCAACTTAAGTGATCATCATAATTATTTTTAACTGATTAAAACTGAATTAAAGAGAGCTACAACTAGTCTAAACTAGGTAACAAACATGTAAATTATAAAATAAAAAATATTAAATATAAATGCCTGCAATGGTGTTTGAATACATGTCAGTTATAAGTTTTTGACTAGCTATTAAAGTTATGCAAAAACAAAGTTATTAATAACATGTTGACAAATAAAAAGATGTTACTTATCAAAGTGAATTTCTAAAAAGTTGGTCTGTAATTATAAATAGTCAAAAAATAGATGAATAAATAAAATTACCATATCTATGGCTGTTAAATACTACAGGGGTGCATGTCATAGCAGATCAAAAGTACAAAACAACAACTAAACATTCTGCAGAAATAATATATTTAAGTACACTTGTATGACGAACATGTACATCACATACTAATTTATCTTGTGAGAGGGGCTAAGCTATGTAAAGAATCCTTATTGGATACTATGTGTGTTTTATTATCAGTAAACATGTATAATTAATTCCTAACATGTATAAATACATCGAAATATGTGAGTATTCCTGTGATTTAATGGCGTTATAAGCAGGTTTTTCAGAAAAAAAGGAGTGTAGCTACATCTCTAAGTGAATGCTAATGCTGGACTAAATCTAAATGCTAATGCTAGCCTTCTGAGCAACATGCTACTATTAGCACCTACTTTACTAGCACAAAACTAAGCATGCAAAAGTGCAATAATCCGTGATTAATACCTGAGCAGAAAAGATGTGCTAGGTTCTGTAGCGTTCCCAAATAATTTGAACTGTATGCGCTGTAAATTTATGATTTAGTAGTACAAGTTCTTACCCAGAAACAAAAACACCAGGCGCCTGGCACACGCTCCCTCTCAGAATACACCATGAAGGGGTGGAGACCGTGCGCTGCAACGATTGGCTGGTTTTACAGAAGGCGGGCATTTGTCGAGGTCTCAACGAATCATTGCTGCGAAACGGCCGTGAAGCCCCACAGAAGAAGAAACTGGGAACGACAGATTTTTAACTTTAACTGTGTTGTTGGTTAACGTGTTATCCTATAGGATGTTAGTTTTCATTGAAAAGACTGCACTTTTATATATGTACTGTTAAATTGCGTGTTTCTATGCAAATGAATGATTTTAAATTTTTATTTATTGTTTCATAATGAGCAGGTGGATTTTTTAAATGCTCTCAGTTTTGTGTGAAATGCAACTCTATAAGTAAATAAATGATTTAAAGTTTTTTTTAAAATATATATATATATATTTATTTATATTTAGTCTGCGTGGAATTGCAGCTGAATGTGTTATAACGACGGTAATATTTTGTTACTTGAAGACATTTAATAAAGTTTTTTGTTTAAAAAAATACCAACAATGCGAAGTGCATTGTGGGTCCACTTATTGCAGTTGTCTTCGTGATCGAGCGGCAGGTAATGTAAAACAGCAATTTATAAATGTATTGTTTTAAAAAGCATTTCTGTTAATAACATTTGTTTAATTATCGATAGGCTCTGATAATGCTTACTGCCGCCGTCGCAACGATTTCCATGCCGTATTTTGTCATATTATGCTCCAGGGTGATTTGTGGGAACTAGCTCAGTTAACTGGTGCCAGGTAGCGTTAGCTAACTCTCTAAACGATGGCTAGTTAAGTAAGAGCTTAGTAATAATAAAATGTTAATATATTGCGTTTGATCGTCATTTCTCGTGCTTCACATAAAGTCGTCGGTAGAGCCGTTTTCTGTTTGCAAACAATGAACATGCGCGCGCAGTTTTGAAGTGGAAAACGGCTTGTTAGCAAACGTGAGCAACAAATTTCTGTTAATATGGCTCATATCGTTACATAAAGTGAATCAACAAAACTACAAATGCATTCAGTAAAATCCACCTTAGCCTCTTGCAGTTACTCCACATTGAAACCCCAAACAATAGAAAACAGGGACAAATTAAATAAATTACAGTTCTGCAGCGCAATATTGGATCCTTGGCTTCATGTGGCTGTAACAACTCGGCATTGTTATAGATGTGGTCATGCAGAAGTCTCCGTGGACTGTGATATTTGCAGAGGACAATGTGAGATGTAGTGAAGGTAGGTAGAAGGTGTAAGTGAGTTTGGAGAGGTGGAGGTATGCTCTTAAGAGAAGAAAAATGAAAGTCAGTAGAAGCGAGACATATCCACGTTTGTGAATGAGATGGAGACTGGTGTGATAGAGAAGCTGCAAGGCATAGAGTTAGTGAAGTTAGTGTTAGTTTAAATACCTGGGGTCAATCATCCTAAGGACAGTGCACAAGAGAGATGAAGAAGATGGAGTGGGTGGAGATGGGGTGATTTGTGACAGAAGCATAGCAGCAAGACTTAAATGGAAGGTTTACAAGATGGTAGTGAGACCCGCTAGGATTTATGGTTTGAAGATATTGGAGCTGAAGGTGTTAGAGTTGAAGATTTTCTTTGGAAGGGACTAGGATGGATATCAGAGGGACAGTCATTTGGAGAACACGTTTAATAGGCAAAGCTAAAAATGGTTTGGGCATGTGCAGCAGAGGGATAGTGATTATATTTTACAAGGGATGCTGAATATGGAAATGCCAGACAGGAGGAAGACTGCAGAGGAGATTCATGGATGTATTGAAGGAGGACATACAGAGGGTGGGTGTGACAGATGATGGTAGGGAGAGAGTGAGATGGAGGCAGATGGAAGCAGGTAAAGAAGGTGACTAACAAAAATAACATCTTTCTAGATGTTTGGTCATACCACAGTAGATTTTTGTATTTATATGTTATCCCAGCTCTAACTATCATATATTGGCTTTGAATATTTCAGCTGGTGTAGAATTAATTAAAAAATCAGAAAAAAAGCCTCTTAATGTTCACTGTTCACAATACCACATTTTGACTTACGGGCCTGTATAACAAACTTTCACTGGCCTCTACAATATTTTTAATGACCCAAAGAAGCCAATTTAATTGTTTAATACTGGAAGCTCTATCTTTAATAATGTAGTATAAAATAATAGTAGACCTATATTTTATAAAGTTACATCTCCCAAATAAATGGTATCCAAAGCTGTAAAATAATTGTCATGTATAACGTTATCTACCCCCCTTTCCCTGCAGGAACCACAGCTGTTAGCCTTCTGTTAGCTATAAAAAAATTTAATGATAATTTCAAACTGAATAAACAGACTGCATAAAGACAGCTCCGCTTTATTTAGTCGCGCTTTGCAAATACTACCTGCGTGAAAAAAATACTAATTTGTGGGTTCATTTTGGCCAGTGAATTGATACATTGAAACTGGCCCCAGTGGGCCACTAATTATTTTGAACCCTGCAGCTGTAATTTGCTTACCCTTTGTTATCAAAGTACATCAAATGTCTTAGTTTAAAAACAGATGTCTGTAGTCTGTCTAAGTAAAGTTCACAGATGGAGCAGTATGTCACAAAAATGTATCCTCTGCAGAGGAAAACAACACATTTTCACACCAAATCTCTCCCCATCTATTGGGAGTTCTGAACAATCAATTTTTACAGTTTTGTTTTTGTTGCCACTTTGCTCACTTCACTATGTGCATTTTGTCTTACCCCCAGTGGAGATCAGATTACTCTCACAGACTTATCTTGATCTGCTTCTCATTCCAGACATTACCACCTATGAAACTACCATGCTGATAACTGGTTTTCCTGGATTTAATCTCACTGTAAACTCAAGATAGCAGCAACTATGGATGCATCTGAAGCAGAAGCCTCAACACAAAATCAGGGAAAAGAGGAAGGTGCATCATCAGGTCAAGGAGATGCTGGAGCAAAACCAAAAAAGGCATCTTTGAAAAGAGCTGCAGATGCCAAAGCAAAAAAGAAGCACAAAAAGGCTCGAGTGTCCAGACCTGCCCGGCCTGGTTATACTGTCCATCAAGGGGAAGATATGCTTCTCGTTATATCGAGTTCCACCTCCCAGTATGACGGGTCAGTGTGGACTCTTAAGAAAAAGAAGGGGAGCAAAAAGAAGAAGTTGGCAAAAGGGAAAGGAAAAGCCAGTCAGGTCAAGAAAAAGAAGACAGTCAATGCCAAGCCCAAACTGGAAAGTAAACCAGTTATAGAAAAAGAAGAAAAAGTCTCAAATTTGTTTATAACTCAGGAAGAAGACGACCACAGATGGGGCCAAAGCCTGCCTGAGGAGGTGCTAATTAATATTTTTCAGATTGTGGTCATTCAAGAGGGAGCAGTGCCCTTTTTATGCAGGTATCGTGTCCTACATGTGATTTATTTGTAATTAAACTTATGAGATTAAGACTGAAATGTTGCATACACTATTTTAATCAAAATCATTTCATGCAAGTTAATCATCTTTCACTTACTTCAATACCTTGGATATCAATCTCATAACTTAAAGTCTGAATCTCTCTACATAACCTTTATTATTATTATTATTATTATTATTATTATTATTATTAAGACTGCAAGTTATTTAATTTTATGGATAAACATTAAGAAAACTGATAAAACTCCCTTCAAGGGAATTTCTTTACATGTTTGTTTTGTGCGATTGAACAGTTTAACGCATTCACGTTACTATGATAGAACAAGCAGATACTCACATTTAAAAAGCTGTGTTGGATATGCATTTTTCAGCTCTACTTTGGGAAGTAAAAGTCAATGAATCCATCTTCTTCCATTTAATTCAATTCACAAATGATGACTTGTGATGAGGCTGGAGGCTATCCCAGCTGTCATTCATAGGGTCAGAGGCGGGGCACACTTTGGAAGTGTCAATAGTGTGTCACTGGGCTAACATATAGAGACACTGAGTGTGAGGGAGCCAGCATACCAACCCAGAGAACCTTCTTGAGGTCAAGTGACAGTCCTAAGCACCGCACCGCTTAATTCTTCCTGGTGTTTTCGGTGTAGGGCGGGGAGAGTTTGTCGTCTGTGGAACGCCGCTGCCTCCAGTCCAATCCTGTGGCACAGAGTGACTGTGGGTCACTGCTGGATTGCACCAGGGAGGAGCCAACTACCAAAAACTCAGAAGAAGATTAAGGACACTTTGGACTGGCTGGCACACAGCAGGTTTGTACTTTATTTAGTTTTTTGCTTAAGTCTTAAGCATGTAAATGAATTCTAAACTGTGTTGTTTTCTAGATTCTCTCAGCTGCGAGACTTTTCTCTGTGTCACTGGACAAAGAACGTTGACTATGCATTAGAGGTAAGTCATCGAGAATTAAGCATTATTTGAAAGATCTTCTCATCTGAAATGATTAGTACATCCATACACATACAAATCCACAAACAAGCTCTCCTCACACAAGTTCAAAGAAAAGAACATAAAAATCATTTCATAATGTATTTTTAAAAATACAGTTATAGTCAAGACTTCCGTTTTCTTGGCAACTGTTTTGATAATCATTGATTATTTTTCTTTACTTGGTAATAAGTTGGTTTCAGCTTCTCAAGCTTAGAGAGTGTAAAGTTAAAGAATATTTCTGGTGTTTGTTGGAGGAAAATTGAAGTAACTCCCTTTTATATTTTACAGTGAACATATTGATGACAACCTGTAGTGAAAAATGAACTAAGATATCCATCATTAAATATAACCTGATCCCATAAGCCCCAAATCCCAATAGGATATTGTTTTTGTCCAGAGAGTATTTTTGATTTTCCAGCATATTGATTGATTATTTCACTACAGGTTGTCATCAACATTACATTAAAAAACTACACTGGTTGCGAATATTTTCTTCCTAGCTTGACAAGACCAGGAAAAATTTAACAAGCCTGAATACAAAATAAGTCTTAAACTGAGAAACTCCCCTTCACACACTGGTGTTTGTTCATTTTGGATCCTGTTCATACATAAATTACAGTTCACTTAAAAACAATATATAAAGGAATAAATGTTTCATTTAAATTTTGGTTTATCTGTATTATTTAATACTTAGTATGTGGCTTTTTTTGAAATCATCATCAGGTTGTGTCGCAGTACTGCCCTCATCTTTGCTCCCTCAAGCTTTCTTACTGCACAGGAGTGACAGCGGCGGCCTTCCACAGCCTCGGTCTGCACAGCCGCTCCCTGCACAGCTTAAATCTCCAGTATTCAGAGGTACGTGGACCTGTGTAGAGATTTTCTAATAGAAGCCATGCAAAGATCTTTTGCTTTATTTGAGTTTCACTGTGTAATGAATGTGCAGTGTTTTACAGTACAGGGAAAGTTCTCTATGCTTGCTCTAAATTTAAAGTGTAACTTTAAGGGTTTGTCAAGAATTTAATTTTAAGCACAAATATAAACAGATATTTATGATGAAAAATATGTCAACTGTTTTTACTTGTCTTATATTAACTATATGATCTTTAAGGGATATTTTCTCAATGCAGATTACCATTTTTTATTCATAAGAAACTTCATCCACTTTATATAGGCGATATATCATAAGGAGACCTATATTCAGCCAGGCATGGTTGCATGTAGAGAATTTGCAGGATAACTTGCTTTTGCTGTAGTTCCAGGTTGAAGGACTCCTTGAGTATCTTGAAAACCATGGGAGCCAGATCAGGCAAATATTGTTCAGTCATGGACTAAAGAATGACAGACTTCTGGCTGCAATCACTGTAAGACTTTTCTCTCTTTGTGTGTGAAACACGTGCTACACAAAGTCAGTGCTGCTGGACAAATGAGCTTAATAAATGCAGAGCATTGCTTTTTGTTTTTCCAGCGGGGATGCTGTCCCGATTTGGAGATGCTGGAGGTCAACACCAAGCTTGACAGTAAAGACTGCCAACTTCCTGTTTGCATCCAGGCACTACAGATGGCATGCCCTAAACTCAAGGTAAAACAAAGGTCTTCTCTGTTTTAGTGTGACTACATTAGCTTTTTTACATTAAAGTTTAAACTCTTAATCAAGAAGATGAAGAAAAGCAGACGTTTTATTAATTGTTGATTGATTCTTTATTGTTAATATTTAAATTCTAGCTTTTCAAAGACTTTTTGGATCTATTGGTTCTTGACTGCTGGTTGAAAAAACAAGGTGCATTTGAAAATATCGTTATGAACCCTGGTTGTATATAATTCAATTTTTTTTTAGTTTTTTGAAATGCTACAGAACAGTTATTTAATTGAACATGTTCTGCACAATTCCTGCTCCACCTTTTATTCTTGGACTCTAGTAGAATGATTTTATTTCATTGACAGTCTAAAGTAGTTCTTATTCCTCTTATACTTGGCTACTGTGCAGCATGTATGTGACAGAAAATAAGGAAAAGCCTAAGTAGCACTAAAGCCAGTAGCTGTAATTTCTTATCTACTGGCACAGTTTGCACTTTACTAAAGGTTACTTGTTCTCCCGTGACACTTACGTACTGCTTCCCATCAGACCTTCCGAATGATGAACGTCCAACCTCTTCATAAGGGAATGCGTTTTGGTATCGACCCAACATCAGGCTTCCCATTACTGGAGGAGCTTTGTATCGCAACCACATCGTTTTCCTATTTGACCGACAGAGATTTGAGGGACATTCTCTTCGATTCCCCGAAACTGCGAGTGCTGGACCTGCGAGGCTGTTCTCGAATCACATCGTCTGGTCTTGCAGCTTTACCGTGTCTAGGTATGTTCGGCAGGAAATCAATGCTTTTTGCTTTATGTCACCAATACCGAGAAGCTCAGTTTGGATTTTTCAGAATGAATCTATGAGGACCTGGAAGTTGGAGTCAGGACAGTTTAGTACAGTTTGTACACAAAATGTGTCTGAATTATTTGAAGGCTTCACATTTTAAAACTATTTCAAACATTTATCTGCTTTATTTTACTGTCTTGTATTTGGCAGAGCTTGAGTGTTTGTTCTGGGGACAATATTTCAGCAGCCATGTTGGGTTGTCATCGCTTAAGAAAGGACTTCACACGTTGACCCAAAAATGGAGTCGAACTTTGCAACAGCTGGACATTGCACATCAGCTCTTCACTGAGGAAGACTTGGAGTTAGCAATGAGTTACCTTTGTCAAGCTGAGGCAGACACACTGCGCTCACTAAACTTGAGTGGGACCAGAATTACACCACGTGCACTCAGGTAGTTGTTTTGTACTTTCCTCAATAGCGCCGCAAATCCAAAATAACCTCTTTATTAGACAAAGTGCAACCAAAAAGAACTGAGCCGTTCCCATTCACGTCTGTGCTTTGTTTTGCAGGCCAGTCATTGGACAAATGACTGCTCTAGACTACCTCAACCTTTCATCCTGCCGCTATCTCCCAAGAGGTGTAAAGAGGATTTATCGTGGCCAAGAAGACATCCGGCAGCTGCTGGACAAATTGGAGTAGCTCTCACATTCATGTGGTTCCAGGAATCAGAAACCAAGTTTACAAGGCAGACTTGAATATCTTAATGCAGGCCTCGCTGTGGGTTATATTGTCTAATCGATGTGAATATTTTGCCCTCAGGACTTTTTTGATAGACATTTTTTCTGCCTGTTATTGGTACGAAATTGACATTTCCGTGTTTGAATGCAAGAAGCAGTAGTTTGCAAACCTGTTACTACTGCATTAATGTCAGGTGGGGGGTTTTGTTTTTTGTTTTGACAATAACCAACACACAATGCGTGACACCTAGTACTGTATATAGATCATTTTATTTGTAAAACTAAATATTCATTTGCGTGTATCTTTTTTTAAAATGTGATTTCTGATTTTTTATTTTTATTTTTTTGTATTTTTGATCAAAAATAAATGTTTAACATGTCACAAGAGAATCAGGGTTGTATTGGTCTTTATTTCCACTAGAGAGTGCTGTCCTGTCAGTATAAATGTACATTTGTTATCTTAAGAGACTGGTCATACTGGATTCATACCTTTCTTGTAGCAACATGTTTAAGAATTAGGGATGGGAATAGCAAATACATGTAAACACATGAATGGATATAAGTGCCTATATGATTTTTCCAATAATGTAAACATGGTCAAAGGAGAGTGTTTGATAATAAAAGACACAATATAGTATTCATTTGTTTATTGGGCCAAATAACAAACTAAACAAAAACAAGAGCAAAAAAAGTATTTTAAATGTACCCACATTCAATTTTTGCCCAAATTTGAAACAGCACTACCAATTTAGGTTAATTAAACTTGGGTCTGTCTTGACTCAACTACTTCTATAAGTGTAAAAGAAACAAAGTCATATGTCCCACATCAACATGAAAAATGGTAAACCATAAAAACAGCATTAAAAATTCAACATTTTAAAAAGCAAAGACATAAAGAGACTTAAGGCCTCTTTACTATGTAAATTGATTTATATAAAACCGGGGTTTTCAGCTTTACTAGGTGCAAATTAAATGTAAATGCTGAATTTTGGTTACAATAGTGGTTGTAAGCACAGTCTTTCATTTATGTCTCTCAATTAAAAATGTATTAATTCCATTGTGTATGTCAGTTTTGTGACCACTTTCTACAATAAAAACAATTGTTCCATTTTCTTTGGTAATGATAAATGTTTTTTCTTTTTTAAAAAAACATTTATGCATTCATTACACTTCCAAAATTGTACAATAAAAGTAAATAGGCAAAGGTCTTTTGTAATCAATCTCCTGGCTCATATTTTAGTAATGATAATATTGCAGTATATTGTCGTCACATGTTAAGCACAACTTCTAAAGTATTTTTTTTAGTTCAAAAAGAAGCTTTTTTTTTTATGTTATATTCAGTTATTAAAGAAGCAAATTGCTGTTCACTTCTGTAGTGGGAGTAAACTGAGGCCTGTAATGGGATCTGTAATACACCTCTCAACCAGATGGAGGTATGTGAGGTTCTCCTGAGTGTTGGGGTCAAAGAAGCCCTTGGTGTCATCATCAGGATCCGATAAAATCTGGTTCATTTCTTCATCAAAGTAACCTCTTTCATATGCCACTTGTACAGGCACTCTGTGACTGTGCACTGGGTCAATTAT